CACACACACACACACAGGGTCATCACAATATGCATTTTTGCTGCCAACTGCAGCGCTCCAGCGCTGCGTAACAAAAGCGCATAATGAATGTCCCTGATCTCAGAATATGAGTGATGAGGTAGCGATTGTAACGAAAGCCCGTGAAAATATCATCTTTGCTATGTCTGAACTACCAGCTCGTCGACGTATTGAACTATCGCACAAGAAACGAGAACTGATACAAAAATGCTCATTCAATGGAGCCGAGTGCAGCATTGATAGGTTCGTTGGTTCTGCGCCATCTTCTTAAACTGATTTCTCATATCCTAGCCTTGAAGCGAACGGACTTATTGGAGATCTACTTCTCTTTACGAGAAGCCGAGGGAATGCTTTTTGTTCTTCAGCACCTCAAACTGAGGTTCTCAGGACGATCATCGCTCCTTCCAGTTCATTCCACTAATCGTTATCCGCTTGATATCGAGCAGTTGCGAAGCTGATTGGAGTTTCATCGTTTTTTCATATAGAACGGCATAAATCCAACGAACATTTTGTTCCAGAGATTTTCAAATTCTGCTTGATCCTGTCTTTGGCAACTGTTTCACTTTCAACTATAATCGAACCGAGAACAAAACCAATCTGCGTGCTGGGCCAATGTATGGTAAGCATTTCTTGATACCTTCGCCTAGTGTTTACAGTTCATTCACATCCCGATATTTCACATGCTGCTCACTCCTCAAGCTGCTTTTCGTTTAGTGTGTAAAGCGGATAAGTTGTTGCAAAATTTTTACTGTGCAGTCACGTGGATCAGCTCAGCTTCTGTCATTTTTAAAGCGGATTTTCTTCAGGTTTGCGTCTTCTGTTGTATGTGAATGCGTCAGATTATTTGCCAACGACTGAGGCTGTTGGAGTTCGCATCACTGTCCATGACAAAGACGAATATCCTTTTCCGGTAAAATGTTCTCCTTTATGAAATAAATAACAACATGCACCAGAAACCGGAGTCGTGGTGTGTTTCTGTGATAAGCTGCCGACTGCTTGTTGTGACGGAAAGCGAGAAATATCCAGGAGCTTTTTCTCCTTCATTCGATTTAACAGATGATTACACAAAGGCCTACTTTCGGGTGAAAACTTAGGGTGTCACATGCTACGACAGTGGGATCATGATGCCAGGTTGTGAGGTTCAGCAGTTTGCTTTACTTTTGGATGTAGAATAATGAGAAGGTTGAGTGTTTCTGGATTTGTGAGCATAGCCAAAGGCGAAAATTTTAAAAAAAATTTAAGTTCGTAGCTTTCTTAGTAATAAGCTGGATTGCAGCAACGGACAGATTTTTGACAAATTGCAGGACTAGTTTAATAGAAAATGATAACAAAAAGCAGACTAAAGCGTATTGTAAAAACAAAGGCATGCAATCTTCCAGGTGCCAGTAACAGTAGTTCTTCGTTGTTTTAGGAAACGTTTGGCTACAGTGCGCCAACAGGATACATTTCCTCGTTTGGAATGAAGATGGTAACTTTTTTCTCCACTAAAACGAGATGATTACGTAGATTTACCATTTTTACGTCAGTTCGACTTCCGCGCATTCAAAATTCCGACATTGGAAACGTGAGATACTTATCCTCATGATTTAGCGTCATGCCACACATTATCTGCATGCAGTAAAAATTCTCTCTTTTGTGCGTTTTTGAATACATGCAGATGCAAAACGCATATTAGCAAGAGGCTGTGTATGTGGGTGTCTGTGTCCGTGTGTTCGCACTTTTTGTCACCCACTTTCAATTCGAGGACCAGAAAAATTGGAAGGTTTCGAGAGTTGTGCCCACACCATGTGCGACCCTCCTGTTTTAATATCATCACTCGTGTACGCCTGGGTTCCACGTACGGGCGCTTTAAAAAATATGCAAATTTTTTGGCTAGAAAGCGATCTCGGGGATCAGAGAAGATAAACAAAAGCTGGAACGCACCAGGCGAGCCGGTGCGATCATGCGTTTTTGCATCAAAACTAAAG